GCAGTTGACAGAGGAGGAAGCTGCCTGCTTCTGCACGCTGTTCATGGCCCTCTGCAGCAAGCGCCCCTCCTTGCTCCCCGGCCTGCTCTCGTCCTACGGCCGCTGGCCGCCGCCGGCCCAGGCGGCCGTCGCTGCGTACGCGCGCTCCCTCACGCGCGCGCTCGCCGCGGGGCCGCTGCCGCCCGAGCTCGTGCGGGCCGTGGCCGACCCCGCGCCGGGCGCGCGGCCGCTGCTGCTGGTGATGCTGCACGCGCTGGCGGACCTAAAAACACCGCCCCCCAAGCTGGTGGCGGCGGCGGTCGACCATTGGAAGCGATCGGGTGCGCGTGCTGGGGCGCGTGGGCAGGCTTGCGTGGAGGGCATGCTGCACGCTGAAGGTTCCGTGCCGCCGGCTGCTGATCAACACAGCAGTGTGTTCCCTGTGCATCGGTCCCTTGACGTGCACCGGCAACGGCGGCAACCGCGGGCGCGGCGAGCGGCCGCGGGCGAGGCAAGCTGCGCCGGCCCACCCGACCGCAAGGGCCCGGCACCGAGCCGCTTCACAGCCCCATCCCCCCAAATTTCGCCGTTCGCTCGCCCTGTCGCGCCCGCCTCTCTGCCCGCCCGCGTCCCTGAACGCGCCACACTCCTGCTCGGAAACAATCCCGAACCCGCCGCCGCCTCTCCACCTTCCTCCGCTCCTCCGCGCCGCGCCCGCCCCACCCCCAGGAGACGTCGCCCTCGTCGCCCCCTTGGTCGGCGGCATGCACCGCAGCGACACCCATAAGCTGCTGCCCCGCCTCTTGGAGCTAGACCCGCCTGAGCTGCGTCGCCTGTACCGCCGCCTCACCGGCTACGCGGCGCCCGACGCGGCCGCCCAGCAGCAGCAGCAGCAGCAGCAGCAGCAGCAGCAGCAGCCGCCGCACTTTGGGGCCGCGGAGCTGCTCGTGCGGCTGCACGCGCTCACGCCGGCGCGGGACGGCGTGAGCAACCGGCGGCTGATTGCGGCGATAGAGACGGCGCTGCACTCGCCAGAGGTCTTCAAGCAGGAGGTCGTCGCCGCGGTGGGTACAACAAACACCGCCCCTACGACTTCCGCTGCATCCCGCTGCTCTCCGCCGGCCTCTGCCCATTACTTGCCTCGTTCACAGTCTGATGTTGTGCGCAACAGCATCGAGGCTGGTTGCTGCACTATTTTGGGGTACGATTGGGGGGTCTTTCAACAAGAGGCAGGGACCTGCGCCCCAGCCTTTTCAGCGCTTTGCATGCCTCTATTGCCACCCCGGGGCGCCCATGGTGCAACTGGCCCATTTGGTCCTGTGCCCCCGCTCAATGCACCTGCGCCCCGGCGACCGCCCCGCGCTCGCGCAGGCGCTGCAGCAGCTTGAGGGCCAGTCCCCGCTGCCGCACCTGTTCATGCGCACGGTCATCGTGGCGCTTGCAACGCACCCCAAGCTAATGGCGTCTATTCTCGGCCTCCTCACAAACATGATCAACAGAGAGGTGAGGCCGTGCGGCTTCTTTGGGTCTGCGCGTTTGCGCGTACTCTTAACCCAGTGCATGCCCGTGTTCACGTGAGTGCCTCGTGCAGCGGTGATGTGAGGGTGCATAAACGCTCTCAAACGTTGGCGTTGCGTGGCCACGGCTTCCACTGGGCTGATCGCGCTGACCAACCTGGAGATGGTGGGCCAAGGCTGGCCGCCCTGTCTTGACATGTCTCGCCGCTAGTCAACACACGCGCAGGCGCTCACGGCGAACAACTTTTATCCACTCGCACATGCGCGCGCACACACACACACACACACACAAACACACACACACACACACAACACTTTCCTTGCACATGCCCCCACCCTCGCCGACACCCACCACACGCGTGCGCGCGCGCACACACACGCGCACACACACACACTCACACCTGCCCAAACGAACACGCACGCCAAGTGTACACACCCAAGTCTCAACCTGCCCCACCGCTGCAGGTCTGGGAGGGGCCCCAGTGGAAGGGCTTCCTCATGGCCATCGCCAAGGCGGCACCTTACTCATACGACGTCCTGCTGCAGCTGCCCGCCCACGCCTTGGACAAGGCCCTGTCCGGCTCAACCTCGGACCACTGGCCGAAGCTGGCCGCCCACGTGGCCAGCAGGGGCGTGAAGGTGCCGATCTTCCAGCCCGTGAGAGACGTGGTTTCGCGGTACGCGCAGCGGGCGCAGGACGAGCTGCGGGCCAAGCTGGCAGCCGCAGAGGCGGCGAAGAAAGCAAAAGAGGACGAGCGGCAGAAAGCAGCGGCGGCGGCGGCAGCGGCGGCGGCCGCGGAGGGGGGCGGCGACGCAGCCGAGGCGGCCTCTGCGGAGCAGCCGCAGGGCGCAGCAGGAGCGGCGGAAGAAGGCGGGGACGAAGATTGGACGCTGGAAGAGGATGACTGAGGGGGTGGCGCGCAGCTTTTTTTGAATAGTTTCAAGCTATGATGGCCAAGGGTGGCGAGAGCCATGGCCACAATTGTACCCATTTCACGCCAACCGTACAGATCCCCAATACATGCTTGCAGGTGATCTCGTTCTCGTTCTAGTGCAGCATTACTAATTGCATATGTTGAGGTTGAGAGGTGCAAGAATTCACCGCTTGGGCCAACGTGAAATATGCAGAAAGCAAGTTGTTGGCAACGGGTCCTGCTTTCAGAAGCTCCTGGCTGCCTCAACCCTGCAGGGTGTATAGGCACAAGCCCACACCACTGCACAGGACCGGTCAGGGGCGCGCCGCGCCGCAGGGTGCGCCACGCCGCAGGGTGCGCCGCGCCGACTGTCACCGGCTGGTGTGATTTTCGCGGCGGGTGGCTCGCCGAGGCTCAGGCAGAGTTGCTGCGTGTCAAATGTTATCAGGCGGTGTGGGCTATGCTGATTGACAGACACGGGCTGGAACTGGCAAGGCCTTGCGGTGTCAACTGACTGGGGCAGGGCAATCAGCGACTCTATCATGCCTGTGCAGCGCAATTTGAGTGGCAGGCGTAAACTGGGGCGCTCAAAGCCATCCCTGCCAGCGGCACAGGCACAGCCGCCACATGCAACAGGCGTGCAGGCGGGCGCTGCTGGTGCGATTAGGCCGGGGCCCCGGGCAGGGTGCCTCCGGGCAGCCGTAAGGTACCTTGCCCGCACTGGATGTGAGGTGCGCAGGTAGCACATGTCAACAGGGCTTGAGGACAGACACCCCAGCGCTCAGCTTGTTCGGCGGCTGCCACGTTGTCGTCGGCAGGTTGTGGCTGCAATTAGCATTCGGATTGTACCGCCCGTGCGCGTACCTAGGGGCCCCGTGCAGGGTAGCGTTGAGAGTTGCTACGGTCACATGAATAAGTGCGATCCAGGCAGAATTGGGAAGCACGGCCTCCGACCACCGTGGGGATGGGTGAAGGATGCGGCGGCTCGCCCAGGGCAGAGCTACGAGCCGCCGCCCGGCATGGCGAGAAGCATGCTACCAGCGGTGGATAGCGTGCTTAGGGACGTAATTCAACCATATATGCCTCACATCATATCTGACAAACCCACTTAGGCGATCGACTGCGAACAACCGTGGCATCATTCGTTGACAGTGACGAGAGTTGTGAGAAAAGCGGTACTTCCGCGCACAACCGATCCCCACCCTTTATTCCACAGCCTGTCACCCGTCCGAAATCCACCCAGCCAGCCCTCAAGATGCGTGCTGCCACCGCCGCCGCGGCCCTCGTGGCCACCGTCCTCCTCCTGGCCGGCGCCGCTGGTGAGGGTGCCAGGGCCCCGCGCCCCCGCCCTTGCACCCAGCAGACCCCCAATCCATCTCATCAGAAATAAGCGCCCCCCAAAGCCACAATGTGCCCTGCCACATGGCAACCGCCGCACCGGCCACCACGAGCCCAAAATGGCATCCACCCATGCTCCATGGCGTGATGCCATTGACACCCCTATGCTGCATTCCACCCTTGAACAAGGCCATGTCCCTTGCTTTGAACCAGCCCATCTCACATGTCACCTAGCCAGCCCACGGATTGGCTCCTTAGTCACCTGTTCGGGGCCCCTGCCACTTTACTTGTCCTGCGATGCTCTGCAGCCACACACTGCGCGTCCTGCCTCGACCACATTGCTTGGGCACACCCACCTGCTTCTGAAGCGCTCCATCCGCCCTGGCTTGACTCGTTGCTGCATTCACCACTCTTCCCGCAGATGCGGCCGGCATCAAGAAGATCGCCCTCCTGGCCGTGAAGAACCCCCAGGACAAGACCCAGGTGAGCGAGGCTGCCCGGGTCAGGGTGCTTCGTACAAAAGTGCCACCTTGTTGCCTGTGCACCAGCCGACCACGGGGAGGTCACTCACAACGCCGGCTGCACTGCATGTATTTCAGCCCGAGCACTCTGCCCTTCTGCCCTTCAACCCCTCCCCCTCAAGCAAGCCGCCGCCTCTGCCGGCCCCATGCATTCGCCAGGCCACCGCCGTCAAGGACGCCCTCTCCGCGTCCTGGGCCAAGTTCACCGCCGCCAACCCCACCAGCGGCATCACCTTCTGGTGGGTTGAGCAGGCGTTTGCGTAAACGGCGCGCAGCCAAACCTGTTTGACTGTCAAATCCCTTTCTTGCGCTTTTGGGTGTTTGTGAGGTGCTTCAAGGGTCCTTGGGCAGGCACATCCGGTACCACAACAGCAAGACCACAGAGTGGTTTCGGCCTATCGATCCCTGACCCCCTCACACCCCGTTTGGCATGGCCACCTCTCGTCCAGCACCTCTCCTTTATTCAAGCACTCCCCCTCTTGGTCTCCTCTCTCCCTCTGTGTCTCACACAAACATTCCCATTCCCTCGTCTGGTACACACCACAGGGTGGCCATCAAGGACAAGAGCGTCCTGCCCGCCCCCGCTGACGGCAAGAAGTGGGAGGGCAAGAAGGACGCCGCCGCCGGCACCTACGTGCGCTACGACGTTGCCGCCATCTGGAAGTTCCCCTCCGCCGAGGCCTTCAGCGCTTACTCGGTGAGCGCCGCCATGTTTTGCTGCAACGGATGGGAAAAGTGCGACGAACGAGCAAGAGGTAGCTCGGATCCGTGGCGTCGCGAGACGAGTCCTGGGCATCCGGGAGGGTCCGAGGGCAGCGGCTGTTGGGCTGTTTTTGGGCTCCCCTCATCAACGGCCATGGCTGCCCAAGTAGAGTGCGCAGCTTCTGACCACAACACCGCTCGGCCCCACCTCCCACCAACCAGGCCTGGAAGAAGGCCAACAGCAACAAGGACGCCTGGAAGGCGCTGCCCATCGCCAACAAGGCCGGCTTCGTCGCCGCCGCCTAATTTGGCACTTTCCAAGGCCGGGTGGTAACAAGACTTTCGCTGTGCCTCACTGGTGTGTGCACGGCTTGCGGCCGGCGCGCACCATGTGCAGGCCCGCCTGCCTGGCGCACTCAGGGGGTTCCAGTGACGGTTTCGTGTGGGTCGGCAGCCGTGGCGTGCGTGGGAGAACTTTGGTTGTGCACTTCTAACGCAACAAGCTCGCTCGCATCATTCACCCGAGGCGAGGTACTGCACTTACTTGGGTTGGGCTTTCGCAACAGAAATGCAACACCCAGCTACGCAGCACTGACGGGCGCACCCCAGCTTGGCCTGCTTGCGCACTTGCAAGGGCTTGCCCTGGTGTGTGCCTGTGTGTGCTTGCGTGGCTGTCTCCTCTGGCCGTTGTGCTGCCCTCGTGTGGGGGTATGTACTCGAGAACTGGATGCATCACGCCCGCTATTATGCTGTGGCAACTGCAAAGGCCTGTGCACTTACTCTCATACGTGTAATATACACTGTATATTGGACTCTTGTGGGTGCAGCAGTAGCCGCTGTTTGTGTGCATGCGGTGCACACTGTGTGCTGGAGGCTTGCAGAAGCACCAGCCATCTTCAGTCAGCTTACATTGGATAGTTGTTGTGTGTCGTCAAACCAAAGTCAGGCACAACACCAAACCCCCCCGTTGCTCATGTGCAACGCGCACTGAGCACGGAACAAGCAGGGCAGATTAGAGGTTGTGCAGGATCGTACTGTTATAACGACAGGCGCAGGTTATAAGTGAGGCGAGCACACCAGGGCGAACCCCACGCCCTCAAGCCCCTGCCTGGCCGCCGTCGCCCGCCCCGCTGCCCTGTCGCAGAAGCGCGAGCGCCGCTGCAACATCCCCGCGCCGAAGCTCGCAGTAGACCAGCAGAAGCTGCGCGGCGGCCGCCGCCAGCGACGGCGGCGGCGCCGGCCGCACAAC